TCAGCATCATCATCAGGATCGTCACCATCATCATCATCATCAGCACTATCAGCACTAGCATCAGCATCATCATCATCATCATCATCATCATCATCATCGTCATCATCATCATCTTCATCATCATCATCATCATCATCATCATCATCATCCCAAGTCCTTTCCCAGAGCTTCCTCAATGGCCGGGGGAGAACAAATAATGCAGTATGTTGGCCAGGCTGCGGCAAAACGTTTGGCCACATAGGCGCTGCCAAAAGGCAGTGAGCGGCAGTGGGTAGCCGCAGGCGTTGGAGCATGAGAAGGCAGGGGAGGATGGTGGGCCGACCCCTCAAGACCGGTGGGCTGTTGCGGGGGAGCTGGCAAGACAAGGCAGGTGAACGCCACTCAGCGTGTACAGATGTATGGAACGTCAAAAAACATGGAATTATCCCAGTGCGACCCTACCTAGGAGTTGGAGGATCTAGGAAAGCAACATCTAACACTTATATGAAGCTAAGCTAAGCTAAGATGAAGCTAAGCTAAGATGAAATAAGCTAAGCTAAGATGAGATAAGCAACGCGAAGCTAAGGGAACGTCACTGGGGGAACCGCGGGGCGGATGCCGGGGGAACCGCCCGGGGCGTGCCCCACTGCCCGGCCCTTTAAGCCTCAGAGTAAGAACCTTTCTAGGCAGAGCCTAGGTAGGGAATCATAGGCTGCAATATCGAATACCCGATGCACTTCGGGATGATGTACAGCATGTACAGCATGCACATCGAAGAAAAGAGTCTGCCCAACAGACGCACCATCAAAATCGAGCATTTCCCGATGGGCCTGAGGATCCTGGGATCCCTGGGGCATCTGGCGAAGCTCAAGGTCGACGAATGATGCGCCCGTCTATTCCCCAACAGTGTGCACAACGGCCCTCACTCCTATGCACGTCTGCGGGTGAAGCGGTTTGTGTTTGTATTGAGCGCAGGAGTGACAAGTGGCTGACTGTGCTGTGCGCTTGTCACAGCCCGCTCCAGGCCCACTCTGGATACTTGTACCAGATCCTCCAGCCTCTTGTGGGCGGTGCCCAACAAGGGCAACGCTCCATTCACAGACATCCGACGATGCGCTTCGGTAAAATCTGCAGCCCCAGCGGCTCTACCTTTCCCCAGGGGCAACTAGTTCTTCGCCCAGGGCACGATTTTGATGGTCCCATGGCCAGGAAACTGTCCCCAGAAGCCAACCTCAAGGAAAAAGTTCGGGCCGCGAGCTGCAAGCAATGCGAACGAGATCCACAGCTCCGTGCGCGCGGACACCGGTCTGCAGAGAACGGGTCGCAAGTTCAATGTAACCGTGGAAACCAGCAGGCATAGTGACTGGATCGCGTTGACTGGGTAGTGCGGCTATGTGGTCGCATGGATTCGCAGAAGTGCCCTCTACGAGAGCGCTCAAACGAGCCAGCTCCAAGGGGAAGCTATTATTGTCGCAGTGCTGGCGAACGCACCGGTCGGTCGGGAAGGCAGACTTGGGCGCGGCATCGCAAATCGAGCACGGGAGGCAGGGAGGGGGGAGGTGGCCGCGGAGGAGGGCAAAGGCGGAGCGCGCTCAGAGCACGAAGACCCTCACGAGCAGGGCTGCGGCAGCAGGCTCCCAGACGCTCCAGGTGGCAGCGTGCGGAAGCCCCCAGCTCAGTGACTGCCCTGTTCCGACTGGGTAGCGCCGCGGAGGTCGGCGACACGCGAGAGCGACCCTGGGCAAGAGTGACTGTGCTGCGCGGCTGAACGGGGGACGCGGGGTGGCCAAACCTGGGCGCGCAAGCCGCTGCTATCGCTTCGCGTTCGGCGATCAGGGGTCCCCATCGGCCCATTGGGCCCGCATCAAAGTTCCCTCGGGCGGAAGTTCCTTCTTACGTCTGGTCGAAAGGGGCCCGCGCCTCCAGCTGGCGCGGCCGCTCCGCCTGGCTGGGCTCCCCTTCGCCGTCGCCCTCGCCGCCCTGCCCCGGCGGCGCACGAGCGGCCTCGACGCCGCGCGGCGGTCGCGGCGGTCGCGGCCGCCGCCGCCGCCGCCGCCAACGTCGTGGTCGACGTCGTCGTCGACGTCGTCGTCGACGTCGTGGCCGCAGCCCCTGCCGCCACCGGCGTCGTCGCCGCCGACGCCGCCGTCGTTCCCGTCGGACTCGTCTAGGGGGCGAGTCTGGGTGGCGCCGCGGCCGTCGCGCCCTGGCCAGCCAGAGGAGACACCAGGAGGCCACACAGGAGGAGCCACAGAAGGACGGCCGAACAGTGCTTCAACGGTGCTCGCAGGATGCTCTCAGTCGACAGCGTCGCCTGCACGAGACGTGCAAAAGCCGATGCGGATATTGGAGCTGATGTGGCGCGGGTGAACCTATGTCTGGGAGAATTTGGAAAGACATGATCCTGAATATGTTTGCTCCCTGCAGCTGTCCTGCTGACTACTTTGGACCATCCCTGTTGCCTCAGGCAGCACTCGTGGTGCCATCCTGAATGCCGTAGGTCAACAAAAAGGGGTAGCTTGGACCGCGCTCCCCCCGCCCTCGCAGCCAGAATAACAGCATCTGGTGCACAGGGCAGTTTTTAATACATAGGAGTTCTAAAACATATGATTTTTAATACATGGTTAATGTATGAATCAATTCATGCATGAACTCGTCGTTGCTTTGAATACTGAGCCCGTGCATTTTAATACATGATCCGCACGCGGAACATGCATTAAAAACGGCACTGTCTGGTGTACTTGTCTCCAGCAGACCTCACGGCCGGCAAACGTATCCGTATCCGCGAACTCGCGGTCTGGACTGCGGGGCGCGATCCTGAGGATGCGTGGTCGCACGGATACGTTCCGCGCGGGGCATCCGCGGTGTCGTCGCCCAGTGGCCTGGTCCGCGAGGCCGCGGATACGGATGTTCTCTGCCCACGAAAGCCTTCAATTACTCCAAGACTCGCACGATCAATGAACTCTCTCGGCGGCGTCAGCCTGGACGGAAGAAGGTCGGCACCATTAGTGGGCGTGCCCGTCTGGGGCGCGACTGCGGCGTTACTGGATGTCTTTGAAGTCGTCTTGGGGCCCCGCTGGGGCCCTCTTGCGGCTCGCTTGGCCCATCAGTGGGCCATGGTGAGGCTTTTGGACGCCTATCAGCAGCAAAAGGGCGAGCAGGCAACACCAATTGAGAAACGCGTAGCGCTTCCCCGAACAATGGTCGCACTGGGGGCTCTTACTTGGGTTTTTGGACGCCCGAAATGGGTACGGAAAGAATGGGTACAGTGCCCAACAACAAATGTTGTCCCAAACCAACAGCGGCCGCTGTTGGGCAGGCAGCCTTCTGTCTCGAATGGACACAGGCCGCGGCGGCGTGGACAGCGAGGCCTGTTCAAAATGAACAGGGTCCGCTGTGGGGCATTGTACCCATTATTTCCGTGCCCATCTCGTTCGTGCAGAGGGTTACTCCAGTATCTGGATGGGTGCAGCCGGCGCCTCGCCACGCCGCCCGTGGGCGCCTCGCGCGCGCCCCGTGGGCCGGGCGGGCGTGCCGAAGTCTCGCCTCGGTGGCCGCCCGTGGCAGCATCGTGGGCGTATCGTGGGCGCCCCGTGCGCCCACGTGCACCTCACAGCCTGCACCTCACGTGCTGCATCTCGGAGCCCCCCAGAATGAAAGGACCTTGGCCCCCAAAAGATCAAAGAACTTTCGAATACTTAGGCATGAAGAATGCTGCTGCTCCTCCTCCTCGTCCTCCTTCTTCTCCTCCATCTCCTCCTCCTCCTCCTTCTCCTCCTGCTCCTCCTCCTCCTCATCACATCTCTCTTGCACCGCATGTGCTGCGCCATGTCAGAGTGTCGGGCCAACGGGCCAAAGGCGAGCCCCAGCCTCCGTCTATGGGCGGTGGGCGCGTGGGGCGGCCCTTGGGATCACAAGACGGAAAGGACTCTGGCAAGTCCCAAACCATTGGATTTGAAGATGTTGGCCGTCTCAGGCTTGTCTGTGCGCCTCTTGGAGGTCTACTGGAGCTTATCGCGGCCCACTTGAGGCATCTCTGGCCACCTCGGGACATCGCGGAGGCCTCTTAAGCCGTCCTCAAAGCTGCTGTCAGCTATCTTGAACCGTCTAGCCACCCTCTTGTAGCCATGTTGGGCCGTCTTGGACTCCCTCCTGCCCCCCCTTGAAATGTTCTTGCTGTCTGGAAAGAAATGGCTAGCTCCCTTGTGTTCCCCAGTCTGCCTCTGTTGGTTTCGCCCGCCGCCTGGGTCAGCGTTGGATGCTCTTTCGACCAGTGTTTGATGCCTCTTGGGGCCCTCCTGGCCAGTTTTGGGGAAGTTGTCTGGCCCTCTGGGGCCGTGTTGGACACCTCTTTAAGTGGTCCTCCTCTGCTTCTACCATGCCTGCCAAATTCTGTTCACGGTTGTCACACCTGACTACTTTCTCGTCGCAGCGGCCTGGTTCGACAAACGTGGGCCGCTGGTGTCTGTCCTTTCAAGCGCGTTGAACCCGTCGTCGTGGTCGTCGTCGAAGTCTTCGTCGTCCTCGCCATCGTCGTTTATGTCTTCGTGATCGTCGTTGCCGTCGGAGGTGACGTGGCCGTCGTCGCTGCCCTCGTCCTTCTCATCCGCCTCCTCCATATGAACATCAACCTGCACCTGCCCCCACTCCTGGTTATCCTCCTCCTCCTCCTCCTACTCCTCCTCCTCCTCCGCTGCGCCCTCTCACTTCGCGTTCCCCTCAGAAGCCCATCGCCATCAAATCACCCCTTCGTCGCACGTCGCTTGCAGTCCTTTCCCTCCTCCTCCTCCTACTCGTAAATGTCCTCCAGCTGCTGCCGAACCTCCTGTCACACCTCCTCCTCCTCCTCCTCATCCTCATCCTCCTCATCCTCATCCTCATCCTTCCCAACTAACCCCTCTTCGACATCCTCCTGTACCTCCTTGCTCTCCTCCTCCGCCTCTTCCTCCTCTGTTCCTCCTGCGGATCTTCCCCCTGCCAATCCCCCTCTTTAATTCTCACCCCTGCTTCCATCTGCCCCGCCTGAGCCTCCTCCGTCCTCCCAGCAAGTCGTCCTCCCTGGCCTCCTCGGCCTCCCCTCCGGATTCTCCTCCATACTCACCTCAGCTATCATTTCTGCATGACCCTTGTGCTCACTGACAGAAGAGGCCATGCCTCAAACAATAGGGACTGCGGTGTCTGCCATTTTCCAAGGCTCCTCGGAAATCCTCTGAATCCTGTACGGTTCCGAAGAATTGACATGTTTTGTATCTCTGGGAATCCCATTGGGATTCCTGATGCTTCCTTCCAGAACCGTTACGCGCGTCAATGTTACAATGCAAGCGCTACAGACCCCCAAGAACAGCTGTAGGGTGTCTTGAGAAACCCTGTATGTTCAGACCAACATGCTGAATGATATGTGGGAAGCCATGACCCCGCGGGACACTTTTGTAGCCCTCTAACTAAGGAGCACTTCGGGGCACTTATGGAACCAATGAAGCACCTTTGCACACCTAAAGAGCATGGTGAGAACACCCTTCGGGAAATTCGTGGGTTCTCACGAGATCATGAAGGCACCTTTACCATGCTTACGGGGTACCTGAAGGAGTCCATGCGTCCCAGAGAAAGTCTCAGCTAGATCTCAAGCGCTCAGAAAATGTCCAGACAAATCCGTTAAAAAAAAAAAAATGCGGGGGCCCGTGGGAATCATTTAGCAACATGTGCAGCTCCTTTTGGGAAGTTGCCACAATCCCTTGGGACCCTTTTGTCAATTCTCAGAGGCCCTTGCAAACCCTTAGTTTTCCTTGGGGAACCAAGCGGATCCATTCGGGAACCGTGTGGAATCAGAATGAACAATCAAGACTATTCGGATCCCCGACGGGCTCTCAGGACATTGTGCAGATTCCATGAGGAAAGACTGAAATTCTTGAGGGGCTCCTCCTGCTTGCCGATGGCATCCATACCACACGCGCGAGCGCCAACAACAAAAACAAAGACACCTATCAACGACAACGCACGCACATGGCATGAAACATGAATATCGAAAGGCACGTCCGCCGAATGGGTCCATTCCCATCCGGCGCGGAGCCCATCCGGCAGGAGCAGAGCTCATCTCAGAGCTTATCTGATAGGAACTGAAACCATCCGGAGCGACGAATGGGTTCGTCTCATCAAGTTCTACTTGCTGAGAGGGCCGAGCCCCTTCGGCGTCGAAGCTCGTCCGATGAACTGCTGACCTTTCAATGAAATGCTGCATGTTCAGGCGTCGCGCTGAAATGAATCAGATCCGCGCGACGAGCCGAATGAACTCATCGCTTTGTCCATCTGGGCATTCTCCCTGTATTTCGGTATCCCGGTTCCGTCTTCGGGCCCCGAGGCAATCGACGATGGACCCAGGGCGAAACGCTACCCCTGTGGAGGGGAGGGTGGAGACCGCTGACTCCGCGGCTGTGACAGCACGAGGAGAGCATCGCTCGCACGAGGTCTGGGAGAGGGGCAGGCAGAAGAGGACGCGAGCGGGCCTGAGGCCCACGCCTCGTGCCTGGTTGACTGCGTGCCGCTCACTCGTTCCAGCAGACCCTCTGCCCCCAGCAACCCCTCCCCCCTAACTCGTCCCACCCCCCCCCTGTCCTCGGGTCGGAGAAAAGCTGTGGGGGGGGGTCCAGTCAAGGGGGGTTCGCGGATCAGCTCACGGAGCTCGTGGCCCCCGCGCCTCCCAGAGCCACAGGAGCCAGCTGTACCGAGGAGAGCGCCAGACGGCAGGGCGCCGAGACCAGCTACCCTCAGCAGATTTCGAACCTTCCCGCTTTCCCTGACCTTCCAGAGTGCAAAAAAACAGATTCCAAAGTCTATCTGAACATGTGAAAACCTCGACTGGAATTTGGGTATCTAGGTCCATGGTGCTTTTTGTCGTAGCCCTCCTGGAGGGTCAGGGTTCCCTGTCCCTCCCGTCCTTTCCTGCGGCCCGACGAAGCGAAAAGCTTGCAACACCGCGAAAAACACCACGACGGGAGCCCCAGAGGCCCCCCCCCCTCCTGCCACACTCCTCGAGCCCGAACGAGCCGTGCTGGCCCCGGGACACGAGACTGGGCGGCAACGCTGCGAATGCGTGAAAAAATTGCAGCGCCCGAGTGAGAAAGTCAACTACCGTGGTTTTGGGAGGAAGGGGTTGGTAAGATACAGGGTGCGACTGTGCAACAAACACATTGGACATACACAGTGAAACGGATGATGTGTCGCCGTGCCGTTTGTTCTCGACGCGCCAAGTGGACGACCGCGACACCACAGAAAGAGCCCCTGCGAACCCACGGCAAAAACCGCGTCCCGCGCCCCAAATAGACGACACCGGCACCGCGGCAAACCCACAGCAAACCCACCGCGCCCGAGGCCCCAAAACGCAAGGCCGCAAGGCCGCACGTCGGAACAAGCGGCGCGGCGACTCATGAGAATTTCTCCCAGCCCCATCCATCCTCCCAACCCGATAATTTTCTTTCGGGCGGGTGGTAATGAGGGTGACCGAATTCAGGGGGGGTAAAGAAACCGTCCCGAAAGGGGGCCCTTTATAGGGCCCCTTTGGGAGCCCTCCCGAGTCGGACGAGGATCAATCCGCTCCAGATTGTTTCGGAACGCTCTGAGCCGCGGCGCCCGAGACATCCTCCTGATCCGCCCGATCTCATAGACTCTCGATCTATCCTCACCCGATGTTGTCCTCGTCTTGGCGTTTTAGGATCCTCCCAACCCGATAGTTCTCTTTCTGACGGGATCTCGGGGTCGCCCGACCTGGCATCCTCGAGGCCCCCATGGTGGCGTCGGAGCAGATGGGGTCGGAAGCTCGCGCCGCATCGGCGATGCACCGGCGATGCGTCGACCGTGCCCCAGCGACGGCGGCGACGCCGGCGTGGAGAAAATCGGGCTCCGCATCGCGATCCTCCGACCCCGTCTGCTCCGACCCCATCCAGGAGGCCTGGCGCCCCCTCCTCCCCCTCCTCCTCCTCCTCCTCCCCTCTCCTCCTCCTCCCTCCTCCTCCTCCTCCTCCTCCTCCTCCTCCTCCTCCTCCTCTCCTCCTCCTCCCTCCCCTCCCCTCCTCCTCCTCCTCCTCCTCCTCCTCCTTCCTCCTCCTCCTCCTCCCCCTCCTCCTCCTCCTCCTCCTCCTCCTCCTCCTCCTCCTCCTCCTCCTCCTTGTTCCTCCCCTGAGGTGATCGAGGCGCCCCGGCCGCCGCCTCGGCCTCGGCGCCCGCCGCTCCGGGCTCCCCGCCGGCCGCCGCCGCGCCGCCCTCGGGCGGCTGCGCCGCCGGCTCCGCCGCCTGCTGCTGGGCGGCGGCCTGCCCCTCCCCGCGGGGCGCTCTCCGCGGGCGTCCCCCTTCGGCCTCGGCCTCCTTCCGCTGCTGCTCGGCCCCCGGCCCTCCTCCTGGCCGTCCTCCCTGCTCTGCTCGCCCTTGCCTCCCCCCACCCTGCTCCTCCTCGTCCTCCTCCTTGTCCCCCTCCCCCTCCTGCTCGCTAGGATCCTCTTGCCTCTTCCCCCCCTCCCCTGCTCGCAATGACTCCTCATCGTTGCACATCCATCAGGTCATCTTGCCGGTCATCGTGAGGTCCAGGTGCCACGCCACCAGGGCGGTGCCATGATGGCGTCCCGCTGCGGCCAAGAGCGCAGCCTCTGCGGCCAACATGCTCCCCCTGCTGCTGCTGCTACTGCTGCTGCTACTGCTACTGCTGCTGCTGCTGCTGCTGCTGCTGCTGCTGCTGCTGCTGCTGCTGCTGCTGCTGCTGAAAGCGACCGGAGGTGCTCCGAAACCAACGCACATACGCTCTGAGCTTCACAAGCGCCGAGATCCAAATGACTCTGCGACGAAGAATCGCAGGACCGCGACGACCAGCAGCGCCGGCCCCCGGCAGCGAACCAGCTACGCCGCTTCGGCGGCGCTGCAAGTATGGTCCGCCCCAGGGACACTTCGCGGCTGTCAAGCGGTGGCCCGGTGGCGGGCCAAGGCTCCCCCTTCGCTGACGCCCTCGGCATCCTCGGCGGCGCCCTCGGCATCCTCGATGGCCTCCTTATGTTCCACCTCGCTGTTCTCGTCAGTCCTCCTCCCCCCCCTCTGCTTTGTCCCCCCCCCAGGGGCCTCTGGAGGCCAAGCAGCAACAAAGCCGCGGCTCTCGAATCTCGATCTTTCGACTGTCCGTCCATCTTCTCGTTCTCCCTGTCCTCCTGGTACTTGTTGCTGGCGGTTTGTGTAGCAGGTCTACGCTTCGACCTCCTCCTCCTACTCGTCCTCCACCTCCTCCTCCACCTCCTCCCCCCCTCCTCCTCCCATTCCTCCTCACATTTCTGTGCCCCGTCCTCCCCCTTCAAACCCCCCCTCCTCCCTCCCCTCCCCCCCCTCCTCCTCCTTTTTCTCCTCCTCCTCCTCCACCTCATCTTCCTATTCCTCCTCCTGCTCCTCCTCCTTCCCCTCCTCCGCCTTTTCCTCCCTGTTCCTTCCTTCTCTTTCTCACCCCCTCCACCTGGTCGCTGTAGTCGAGAGCGGAAAGCGCGCCCCCTCGTCCAACTCCACCTGCTTCTCCTCCTCCTCCTCCTCCTCCTCCTCCTCCTCCCCTCCTCTCTCCTCCTCCTCCTCTTCGTCTCATCCCTCGACCTCCTCTCCCTTCCTCCTCCCCCCCATTCCCCCTTTCCTCCTCCCCCCTTCCCCCCCCCTTCCCCTCCCCCTTCCCCTCCCCCTTCCCTCCTCCCTCCTTCCCCCTTCCCCCCTTCCTCCTCCCCCTTCCCCCTTCCCCCCTTCCCTCCTCCTTCTCCCTTTCCCCCTCCTCCCCTGGCCCCCGTACGCCTCGGACAAGGAACCCGAAGCCGCGACCGAACCCTCGTCGGAAAAGAAATGGTGAGGCGAGCAGGAGGAGAACACGACCGCGCCACAAGTGCACATGACACCCACGACGGGGCCGAGCGGCACCCAGTGGCTAGCTCCAGTAATGAATACTGGAGTGTCCGCCTTCAGCACAGCGCCCGAGGCGCTAGCTCGACCTTCTCGTTGGAGTCGATGCAGTTCGCTCCGCGAAGCGCCAGCCATGACCTGAGGAGGAATGCCGACTCGTGCGATGCCGAATTCCTGCGGGCACGCGCCTCGCCACCGACTCGGGCACCAGCCAAGCCAGCAGCGAACACTGGCAGGATGAGCTGCACCCGACGCCTGATCTCCTCCTCGGCGCCGTCGAACTCCGCGCTACTTGCCTGCAACTCGAGGGCCGCTAACTGCCAGTGGGTCTCAACCAGCTTGGCCTTCAGCTGCACCATCTCAGCGCAAGCCGAGGACAGACCGAGATCAGCAGCTTCAGAAGCCCGTCTCCGCGCGGCAGAGCGCTGCGCCCTCGAGCAACGAAAAACTTCGGGAGCACCTGCAGCGAACACGAACAAGCGAACAGGGACGCGGCCAGCTCCACTAGCTCCAGACGATGGAAACATCGCCATGCCAGCTTGAGCAATGAGGCTGTCGCGCGCCGCTGTGCGGCCTGAGCCAAAATGGCGACGGAGCCATTCCTCATGACCTTCCTGTGCCCCTTCCCCCCCCCTTCTCCCCCCCTCCCCCTCTCCCTCCCCCCCCCATCCATCATCCTTCTCCTCATCCTCCTCATCCACCTCATCCTCCCCCTCCTTCTCCTCCTCCTCCTCCTGCTCCTCCTCCTCCCTGTCCCTTCCTCCTCTCTCTCCCCTTCTCCACCTCGTCGCTGTAGTCGAGAGCGGAGAGCGCGCCCCCTCCTCCTCCTTCTCCTCCTCCTCCTCATCCTCCTCCACCACCTCCTCCCCCTTCCCTTCTTCTCCTCCTCCTCCTCCTCCTCATCGTCCTCCTGATAAGGTGTAGCTGAAGAAAAGAGTCCACGTCTGGAGGTGGCGTGCTGAGCGGCAGCATTTTTCGGCGAACGCCTTAATGCAATGAATCATATGTTATCAATGCTTGCGTAGTTTCTACACATTGTGTTGTATTCCACGAACATACCTCCGCCTAGCGTCGCGCCACATGTGCGTGCGAATATGGCGCCCCTCCTTCTAGTGCGCAGCAACGTACCAAAACACATGGAAAATCTACAAGATCGGCCTCTTGGGCCTCTCGGGGACCTAAGCGGGCCCCCAAGACGGCTCAAAGGGCCCCACACGGGCCTAGATGGCCAAGACGGCCCAAGATGGCCCCAAGAGGGCTCAAGAGGCGCCAAAGACGGCCCCAGAGGGCCCCAAGAGTGGATCCAGATGCCAACAACCTACTTGTCCCTGTGTTTTTGCTATAGAATAGCGTTCTCGTGTTTTTGCCGCCCTCAGGGGGCCATGACAGCCCAAGGAGCCCCACAAATTGCCCCCAGACGGTCCAAGAAGCCCCCAAGAGGCCCCAAGACTGCCCAAAATGGCCCCAAGACGTCCCAAGAGGGCCCCAAGGGAGCCCCAAGGCGGCACCGAGAGACCCCCAAGACGGCCTCCGAAGGTGCCTGATGACGTAAGAGCCCTCTGAGAGCCCCCCAAGATGCCCTCAATAGGCCCTAAGAGGCTAGAGCGAGGCCCCAAATAAGCCCCCAGAGGACTCCAAAAGACCCCTGGGACCCCCTAAACGGCCCCAAGAAACCACCAAGAGGCCCGCGCAATTGTATACTGTTGGCGTGTTGTTGCAAGACTCATCGGGATTTGAGCTTGGCCTTACCTGGTGCTGACTTTTTGTCGGCGGCGTCGCAAAACTAAAACGCGTGCACAAGCAAGCCAGGGCGCAGAAACAACTTATTCGCTGGAGCGTGCCGTAGACGAGGAACGGAAAAGGAGGCGGCTGCGGAGGCAGAGGCGGACGGAACGCATGGAAAATCAAAAAAATATCGGCCTCTAGGGCACCAGGAGGGCCTCAAGACGGCTAAGATTGCTGCAAGACGGCCCGATATGGCCCCAAGACGGCTCCAAATGGCCCCAGGACGAGTCACTCCCAGCCCACACCATAACCTGGTCCCTCCATCCACCCTCCGCCGGTGCGACCCGTGACGTGACCGGTCCCCTCCCCCCTCCTCCTGGTGACGCCCGTACCGCCAGGGAACCAATAGTTTGCATCCAATCGTCCCCCAAGGGGCCCCAGTAGGCCCCCAAGAGGTGCCCAAGAAGCTTACAGAAAAACTCCAAGGAGGTCCCAACGCCCGTGCTCTCCGCAGTGCGGACGTGCACCCCGCGAAGCGAAAGGGGTCGCCTCCTCCTCCTCCTCCTTCTCCTCCTTCTGCTCCTCTTCCTCCTCCCCTCCGTTCTTCCCGCCCTCCCCCACCCTCGAGGGCAAGCCTCCGCGACCTCCAGCCGGCCACCGCTCTCATCGGCCGCCGCGGGGTCGACAACGCCGGGGCGAAAGTCGTCGTCGGGCTCGTCCTGGCGCTCTTTTTCTGGCTGCTGCAGGAGAGGTGGGGTTGAGCACGAGGCAGAGTATGATCATGCTGATGACGGTTAAGATGACGATGACGATGACGATGACGATGACGATGATGATGATGATGCTGATGATGATGATGATGATGATGATGATGATGATGATGTGTTTGCTGATGATGATGGTGATGATGATGATGATGATGATGATGATGATGATGATGATGATGATGATGATGATGGTGATGGCGATGATGATGAGAATGAGGAGGAATAATAAGAATCGCGCGGCATCCCTGCAATCCTACCCTTCACTACAAAAAGAGCCCCATTGAAAGACAATCGCCCCGTGGACTTGTCATTCAGGGCAGAGCCCCGTTTTGAAAAGGGTCTGTCCTAGATCCGTCCTTGTCCCTGCTGCAAGCTCTGCCCCAATCTGAACACGCACAGCCCTCCATCGGGTCGACTGCTGAGACATAAGAAGAGGAATGGGTGCGGCGCTAACGCGGGAGCTCTTGTTTGAAAAGAGGCCGCCATCCATCCTTGAAGCTGCTTCTGCCATTGAGCAAGGATGTGCGCTGCGCTACGGCGAGAGTCCCACTTTGCAAAAGACCAGCCTTCCATGCGCAACTGCTGCAGGCGTTCAGCATGAGTGTGCCCAGCGCTAAAGCGACAGGCGGATTTTGAAAACGTGCCGCCCTCCACCCTTGTAACTATTAAAACACAAATAAGGCGCGCGGCGCCGAGGCGAGAACCCCATTTGAACCGCCCTCCAACTGTCCAGCTATTGCAAGCGTATGCAACGGAAATGCGCGGCGCTAATGCGAGCGCCCGCTTTTGTCAACGTACCACCCAACACCTTTGTAACTGCTACAAGATGTTAAGACCCGTGCGCGTGGCGCTAACGCGACAACCAATATTGAAGAACACCCGACCTCCACCCGTGCAACTGTTCAAGATTAAGCAACACGGCCGACCAGACCTTCCAACACGTCTGGGAGTGCACCACGGAGGAACTGTCTACACGGAGAAGGGGTGAAGGAGGACGAAGTGGAGGAGGAGAGGAGGAGGGTGAACAGGGTCATGGCAGATCGGAGCTCTTGGGCTCCTCTCCCTGGAGACTTGCTCGAAGGCCCCCCTCGGGACCTTCGCACGGCTGCCGGACGGAGTTCGGACGCGGGGGAGGGAAGAGGAAGAGCATCAGGCGAAGAAGACGAAGACGAAGAAGAAGAATAAGAAGAAGATCGCAGAGAGCAGAGGATTAGGAGGAGGTGGAGCAGGAGGAAGAGAATGAAGAAGGGGAAAAGCACGAGAACGAGGAAGACCTGGAGATACGATGTGCTGCTTTTCGTAAACGAAGGGCCCCAAGAGTCCCGTTGCCGAAACCTGCGAGACATTTCAGCGTTACTTGTTGTTGTTGCCGATGGTAGTGCTGTCGTTGTTGCTATTGTTGTTGGTTGTTGTTGTTGTTGCTGTTATTCTTGTTGTTGGTGTTGCTGTTGTTATTGTTGTTGTGGTGTTCTTTCTGCTGTTGTTGTTGCTGCTGCTGTTGTGCGTGTGTCTTTGATTGCTCACCAGAAGGGGTGCTGCACTCTAAAGGGTCTTGTTTCCTTGTTTGCTCCACGGAACCCTCAAGGCATCGCCTAAGGTGTCCCAAGGGTTCCCGAATGAGTCATAGTTCTTGGCGCGACGTCGCCCCCGGCTCGTAAGGCGTGACAAATGCAAATTCCCGCTGTCCGCATGCTACTCCTCCTCCGTGATGATAGCCGAAAGGCCGAGAAGGTAAACTCCTTCTCCTCCTCTTCCCCCTCCTCCTCCTCCGCGCCGGGCTGCAAGGCCAGCCTCGTGCCGCAAGCGGCTCTCTGGTCACCCCCCTCGCCGAGCGCGATCCATCGAACAGAGGAATGGTTCACGAATCTGATGATAAACGAATTGGCGGCTTGAGGTAGAAGAGCGCATCCAATCAGCGGGCCCATCAAGCGATCAAGACGATTCCGAAATCATGTATCGAGGACTTTGTCTAGTTCTCGACGGTTTTCGATGTTCTACCATCTCCCGTATGATTATCTTGGGCGTTAAATGGATTTCGAATGATTCAAGACAGCAAGAACATTGACAGCCAACAGCGTACATGCTATATACGCTCATGCCTAAACTGGTGGCATAACATATTACATTCCAGCCGAATCGAATACTCGGGATCTTACCTGCACGCGTATGCGTTTAACCTTCACGTCTGCCACCCCTAACCAAACAAACATCCCCGCCCGTTTGCAATCCTACCGCGGAAGGGGGTAGATGAGTTCGTTTTGCGCCTTCTGTCGCTTCGGGACGGGGGCGACTTACATACTTGAAATTGCAATCCAAGACTATCTGCGATGTGCTTCCAGAACACTGAGAGGTGCAGAAGATTACGATCGATGTGAAGCATCGGTATTTGTAAGGACTGTCAACTCATCAATCGATATAGGAACTTCCACTAAGCGACCAGTTGCTGCGTAACATCATGTCAGCATGGCGCAGGGTCTCTGCACTCTGCTACGATCGCTTTGGGCTCTGCTTGAAACTGCGTTGAATTATCAGCGAAACTACTGGCCGGTGCCTCCAACCTAGCCAACTGGCTCACCCCGCGCCCCTAAACACCTGACCACTTCCCTGACACCTGAGCGCGCACGTTGTGGCGATCTCCTAGCTCTGCGGCAGGAGCGGCTCGCGTCCACGACCGCGGCTGCGGCCTGAGGTCACTGCTGCAAACACTGCCACGGTCGCCGTCACTGCCATGGCCGCTGCCCAGATCTGCACCCTGGGGCTCAAGAGCTCCGCCGCTGCCAAGGACTCCTCTGCGGCCGCGGGTCTGTCACGGTAGTGGTTGCCCATGGAGACGTTCCCGAGACCGATCAATAACTCCTCCTTCGGGATGCACGCCCCGTCCTTCGCGCACTCATTCTCGCCGCACACGCAGTAGCCTTGGTTGCGGATCTTCTCGCACTTCGCATTCCGCGACGCGGCACACCCCATCAGCGAGCATGAGCCCCCAGTGAACTTTGGGCAATCTCCGGCTGCCACGCACTCCAGGCCAACGGAGCATGAGCCCTGCGGGCACATGCACTTTTGCACCATGAGGCTCGAGACTCCGAAGAGCTCTACAGACTTGGGCGCATCCCAGTCTGGCGGGACTGTCGGCACATCGAACCCACTCTGGTGCAGAAGGCCCGTCGCGAGACACGACTCGTGAATCGACCCGTACATCAGATAAGCGACGCAACTGGCACCAGCGATGCCCACCGTGAAGAGGCCCATGCCGAGACCGTTGAAGCTGTGCTTGTAGACGCAGACGCAGAGACCGCCGCACATGACGAGGAACAAGCCCAGGAGTGCGGTGACGAACAGAACGAGCTTCCCGGCACAGGGCGCAGGGAACGCAGGCTTGGGACTGCAGACAGAATTCGCCAAAGCCGGGCAATCGGACTCGACGCAGTTCCAAGACGTCACGCGAGAGCATGCGCCCGATGGAATGCACTCACCGTTCTCAGAGCACGATCCCTCCGCACACGTGCACTTTTGACCATGCGTGCACTGTGCGTTTCTCCAGGTGAAGCAGATTCCTGAGGCGCAAGTGCCACCAGTGTCAGTGACGCACTCACTCGCTTGCACTGATGGAACAATGAATACTGCGAGCGCCAAGCGAAGGGGTGTCATATGCTCCGGGAGTTTTCGCTTGGCGGCTGAGCTGGCGGTGAGCTCCTTGAGCCTAAATACTGCAATTTATGGTCTGAGGGATGATGATGTCTTTGCGAGGGAGAAGACAACTATTGCTCCGCCTGACGCTGAGTGGGGTTGAGAGTGCTAGGGTGCGGTGCCATGTGACAACATTCAGAAAACGACAGACCCGAGAACGAGGCAATCGATAGGCATGTGAAACACTAAGCAAGGGCAAGGTGGAAGGCCAGGGTCACTCAGGCAGTGAGGGAGAAGAGACCTCTCAGACATCTCCAGCGCAGCTCTAGCTCCCTGCCCGAATCCACTTGCAGACGCATGCACAACACCCGTGGCCGTTGAACGATTTGATTTCCGGGGGCAACGCCAACGGCATCCACGAACCGATGGCCCTCGAAGAGCTAGGAGGAGGAGGAGGAGGAGGAGGAGGGACGAACAAGGAAAGGCCGTCCTCGGTGCACTCGATGCCCCCGAACATCCTCACCGCCGCCATGGGACCAGCCGCACCCACCCCGAGCGAAGCGACGGACGCCCCGTGGGCCGCTGACAGGCGTCGCGCGGCGCGGCGGCGGGAGGAGGGGGAGGGCGCTGGGCGGGAGGACGAGGAGCACGAGGGAGAACGAGGGAGGAGGGCGAGGGGCCGAGGAGCACGAGGAGGGCGGCGGGAGGGAGAACGAGGAGGAGGAGGAGGAGAGGAGGAGGAGGAGGAGGAGGAGGAGGAGGAGGAGGAGGTGAGGAGGAGGAGAGGAGGAGGAGGAGGAGGAGGAGAGGAGGAGGAGGAGGGGGGGGGGGGAGGAGGAGAGTGAGAATGAGAATGCCAGTTCGCGCAGTGGGGCACGTTGGCTTTTAAGGGGGGGGGGGTCCGCGGGTTGGCTTGCCTGCAAGACTTTTCGGCTCTGCGGCGGACCTGAGGCCGCCGTGCCCGAGGCTGGGAAACAGCGCCCCAGCCTCGGTGGCAGCCGCGGAGGGACTGGTGGAGGAGCAGCAGGGCCCGATGCCATTTGGAAGGCTGTCCCTTCCAAATAGCATCGGGCCCTTCTGCTCCTTTGTAATTCAGGCTGGAACGTTTATGTCTGACCCTGCATCTTCATTTCTAGTAGAAACCATCGCCATGGACGAGGCTGTCCAGGCGTTGGCTCAAACACTGTCCTTTCGTGCGCGGCCGTTACGAGGTGCCTTGGCACCTCACGAGTGACTTAGGCTTTGTTGTAAAAAAAGGCTGCCCCTTCTTTGGCCGGACACCGCCCGCGCGACGGCCGCGCGCGCGGGAAGGTCACGAGCCGCCCACCGCGCGCCGCAGCGCGCGGCCGAGGCCCGAGATGGCCCCGCCTGGCCCCCAAGGACTCGGACAGCCGGCGGCCAGCCCGCGAGCGGGACGCAGAGGGGCATATTGGCAAGATGTGCCCTCCCCTCGGAGGAGTGCGCCCGACCAGCTCATATAGCACACAAGTAACATAGTCACCCCAGCGGGATAGCCAGAAAGCGCCCGGCACCAAGCATATACTATAAGATCTCAGAGCGGGCGCGTCGCCCGTTCGGGGGCGGCGCGGGGCGACACACACACACACACACAACAATCCTAATCCTCCTTCTCCTCCTACTCCTCCTCCTCCTCCTCGTCATCATCATCATCATCATCAGCATCAGCATCAGCATCATCATCAGCATCATCAGCATCATCATCATCATCATCATCATCAGCATCAGCATCATCATCGTCATCACCATCGTCAACATCATCATCGTCGTCGTCATCGTCGTCATCATCATCATCATCACCACCAATGGTCCCCCCGATCATCAGCGGTGGCCGCCGCCACGAAATGATGATTTTCCCAATAATGCTGGGGCCCCAATCCGTCAATAAACCCGTGAAGAAAAAAGCCGTCAATAAGCTGGTCAATAATCCGTCAATAAGCCCGTCACTATAGCCCGCGCCAATAATCCGCTTTCCCAACTGAGGTTATGTGTTTGTTTAGGGTGGCACCGATCGCACGACAGGAAACACATACGAAGAGGAGTCCTGTTGATAAGAATCGTGGGGCACAGGCGGCGTGCTTCCCTGTTGCGTCGTCACCCTCCTGAGCGAGGCCAGGACGCGGGCAGCTCTATGGTCTGTTTGGTTGAACGAGTGGTGTCCTCGTGCTCGATGTCGAGTCAGTATCAGCAGAAGTCAGGGAGCAGACTGGTAGCCTCCGACCATCAGAGTCCCAGGCCCCTGGAGGCGATGAGTTCCCCGTGAGCGAGGCAATGCGCGAAGCAGTCCAACAGATCTTCCATCCCCAGCTGCTGAGATGACATCTCGGTGGTGCCTCCGCAGCGGGAGTTTCGTTGGTTCCAAGTCCCTTCGAAGCGAGGACGGGTCCGAACACGACACGGTCGGTCTCCAATAGATTGCCAGGCATTACGGTAATTTAGTATTCAGCGCGAGCTGAGGTCTGTTTTATGTTTCTCCTTCCTCCCGTAGACTTGGGAGATGGGTTGGGGCCGCCTGCGCAACTCATGCTTGATCCAGATTTTGTCGTGGACCCTGGTAACAGGATGATGCTCTCAGAGTTGGATGTCCAAAGCCAAGCGTCATGAGGGCACATATGCAAGGTTGACTTTCTCGCACTTCCAACAAATAACTTGCCTCTTCGGCAAAGCGCCAGGTCTTGGGGTTCTATGTCCAAGGCTCGGATTTTCTTGTGCCAGAAACTGTGCCAACGGCTCATGATAGGCTACAGCTTTCCCTGCAGAGTGGGCAGGGGCTAAGTGTCGTAGGTGCTCGCCAGGAAAGCACAGACCATAAGAGTTTCAGTAGTGCTGCTTGTCATGATCCATCGCCGCCAAACAATGGCGGGGCTATCTTTGAGGCCACCGCAGAGTTTCCTGAACAAGAAGTTCTGTCACGAGTGGCAAATCGTTCTCCACTCTTTTCGAAACCTCGGAGGTCCTTTCTACCAATCGCTAGGCGCAAGGCGTCCCCTGATGTCAGCCGTGTCAGGCGTCCTTCGGATCTAGGCGGACATCCCAAGAGCAGGAGGGTGCGCACACGGAGCAGGTCCCCCATCAGGCTTCGCGAAGTGGGGAGATCTTGTCGTAGGGCCTTGTCGGTGTTGGTGAAGAGGGAGTCCGAGGTCAACAGCGAGTCTTCGTCCTGGTCCGCCCTCTTGCCTCTAGGCGAGGCGGCGAGAATGCCGACACGAATGGTTTCGAACTGTCTGACAGTCATCCGCCCCAGTGTGCTTCATGCAAAATGCACAGCTGGCCGTTTCTGTGAGCTCTTCCTGTCGATTGGATGCCACAGTGTTACATTTGTGGCGAGCGCACTTGTGAAAGGCAATGGCGCGGAGGTCCAGCCCAAACGGGTCCGCTGATTCGCTGCCAGGGCCGCCAAGTATCGCGAAGCTTTCAAGCTTCCCCGCTGAAGCCCAAGTCTTGGGAGCTCAAGGCGGCTTCCAAAGGTTAATTCAACAGTTGACTGTATATCTGTAATGCGCGCCATGTAGGCTGCTGATCCTTGTGTTGTTGCCGTTTGCGGCGAGAGTCCTCCACGTACCATCAGGACACTATTCTTCGGATGAGTGTTAAGTAATGTGTGGCGTTGTTTTGCGTAAAGCGCGGCTGGTAGCATGTGTGGCTTAATGATATCTCTGTTTGAAGCGGCCAACCTCAACAAGCTGCATTCTTCCCTGCACTCAAAACTACGATTTGGCGCTGAAGCCGCTCTTCCTCAGAAATGACAAAATCACACTGTGGGATCTCTGGGCCCTCCGGCGGCCCACATCAGGAGAGGGCTCCAAAGAGGTCCGGAACTCCCCCAGAGAGCTACGGAGAGCCCTGAGACCTCTGGAGACCCCCCGCGAAGGACAGCCAGGAGGAGTGCCGTCAATCTGTCATAGCTCATCCATCTTCGCTCGCATCGAAATCCCACCAGCCCTTTGGGCGTGAGTGGTTTAGAGAGCCCGCTCTGTTCTCAACCCCCTTCTTCCCCTTCGGGGAGGGGTTTACCCCTCCCCCTACCCCCTCCCCCTGGGCCTGGAGAGGTCCTTTCGCGGGTCGTTGGGGGGGTCATTTTCGACTCCTGGGAGGGCTAAAAAACGACACCCCTCACGAGGATTCTGGCCCCGACGGGGGGGCCCAGAAAAAACCCTCTCCTCTTCTTTGAAGCCACAATCATTGATTTTACTACGGTTTTGGCCCCATTTTCGCCTTCTGAGGGGGCAGCGCTCATTAAAGCTCCCCTCTTCTTTCCAGGCAAAATCATTGATTTTACGAAGGTTTTGGCCTCATTTTGCCCTTCTGAGGGGGCAGCGCTCATTAAAGCTCCCCTCCTCTTTGATCGATTCCCTCCAAGATGGCCCCAAGAAGCGCCCAGGAGGCACCAAGAGGCCCCAAGATGGCCCCAAGAGGCCACCAGGGGGCCCCCAAGAGGCCTCCAAGAGGCCCCCGAGATGCCCCCAAGAGGTCCCCAAGAGGCCCCAAGAGGCGCCGAAGACGCCCCAAGAGGCCTCCAAGAGGCTCCCAAAAGACATCTACTACTACTTCAGGGCCCGAACGACTCACACCACGAAGAGCCCGAACGACTCACACCAGAAGGAGGGGCCCGAACGACTCACACCAGGACGAGGCGCCCGAACGATTCACACCACGAGGAGCCCGAACGACTCACACCACGACGAGGGCCCCGAACGACTCACACCACGAGGAGCCCGAACGAGTCACACCAGGAGGAGGGGCCCGAACGACTCACACCAGGACGAGGGGCCCGAACAACTCACACCACGAGAAGCCCGAACGACTCACACCAGGACGAAGAGCCCGAACGACTCACACCACGAAGAGCCCGAACGACTCACACCAGGAAGAAGGGCCCGAACGACTCACACCAGGACGAGAAACCCCGAACGACTCAAACCACGAGGAGCGCTTTCTCTCCCTCCTCCTCCGCCTCGTCCTTCTCCCGCTCCCACCACAAGGAGGATGTACAAGGAGGCGGGAGGAAGGAGGAACAGGGGAGATATGCGGGGGTAGGCGGAAACACGCCTGAAAAACACGACTGTCGGCATGTTTCGCAAGAGTTGCTGTTTTGAGATGGGCTGGTGGGGATACGCGAAGCGTAAAGAATTCAAGCCGAACCGATGGCCCCGAACCGACCCGGGGCCCGAGAACCAAGCCTCGGACCGAATCGGTCGAACTCGTCCCCGACCCGCACCGGCCGAATTGGATGGGAGCTCCAGGGATCTCGAGGCGCCTCCGAGGAACGGTCGGCCCTCCAGCGGGCCGACGGCGACGCTCCTGCGCCGACCCCGTGGCCGGAACTCCGTGGCGGAGCTCTCGTGGGGCTCCGGGTCTGAGCATCGTGTGGCAGATCTCCATCCCCACTGGCGTGGCCCTGGCCCCACTGGCCGATGTACCCCCCTGGATGGGGGTACAGGCTGCTCCCCTCGGGCTGCGAAGCTGGCCTGACCCCAACTGGGGTGGTGGGATGGTGGGGGTACGGGGTTGGGGACGGGCTCAACGGTGCTAAAGGTCGGGCCCCAGGCCTTCGGAGTCCCGAGGCCAGGCAGGCGATGCCCGCGGCCGCGTCGGTGAGGGCCTCCCTGGCCCCGCTCGGCAGGGCCCCCGCCGTCCACACCGCCTCCGCCACGATTCGGAGCTCGGGCGGGGTCCCGCCGCCCGCGTGGTCGACGTCGAAGACGACGACCTCGTTGCGCCCACGGCGCAGCAGGGGGCCTGGCAGGTAGAGCGACCTCTGCGGGCCAACGTCCCAGTAGCGCCCGAGGTTGAAGCCGTTGACGCAGACGAATCCCTTCCCGATGATCCCGAGACCGCGTGCCAGCGCCGACGTGTGCCTGTCCCCCGACGCCCTCCAATACGACGCGGGCGGGGCCGGCACGAGCTGAGCGTGCCGCCGGCGGAGAAGCGCGGGCAGGCACGCGCGAGGCTGACGCGCAGTCTGCGGATCGCTGACCTTCCGGAAGCCCTCCAGCCGCAGGAAGCCGTCGGCAGGAGACTGCACCTCGAGCGAGTAGCGGAAGAAGCGCGGGCCGCGCGCCCAGGGGCCGCGGCGCGCGCGCGAGCCGCCGTGCTGGCCCCAGGGGAGCCCGGCCAGGTCCTCCTCGTCCATCGGCAGCGGGATGCACTCCCAGCCGAGCACCGCCCGCAGGGGCCCCGAGAAGCTCCCGCCCCGAGCCACGCTGCTGGGGCCCACCAGGCCCTTGCGCTCCGACACCATGCCTGGGCCAAAGTTGATGCGGTTCATGATCTCGACGAGGATGTCAAGGCTGCCGCCCCGCTCCGGCACGGCGAACTCGCGAGCGTCGGCGCCGTCGTTGCGGTAGACTGTGCCCTGCACGCGCCCGTCCACCATCACGCTGGCGAAGTCGCGCACCGCGTCTGGGCCGAGGCGCAGTGGGCCGGGGCCGGGCGACAGCTGGCCGCGGTACAGGACGCAGCCGTGCCCGCAGCCGATGCGCTCCGCCGGCAGCGGCACTGCGGACAGGGTCGCCGGCAGCCGCCGCGAGAGTGCCGGCAGGGCCGCAGACAGGTCCATCGAGGCCTCGAGCTCGAGCGGCGGGGATTTCGGCAGTCTCGGAGCGCGGGGGAAGCTGCGCTGGAGCAGCTGAGGCTTGCCCAAGAAGCCAGCGAGCACCTCTCTGCAGCGCAAATACTTGTCCGTCACCTCACCGGCCTCGTCGAGAAGACCCCCGTAGTCGTAGGAGGTAACCTGCGGCGAGTACTGGCCCGCCTCGTTGATGTTGGCGCCTGCGCCGCACAAGCCAAAGGAAGTGCCACCGTGAAAGACGAAGAAGTTGACCGATGCGCCCTGGTCCAAGGTGGCCTGCAGCGTGCGCGCCACGTCCTCCGCGGCGCGGTAGCTCTTCCCCGCCAGCGCGCCCCACGCGTCGAACCAGCCAACCCAAAATTCCATATTGACCAGTGGGCCCTCGGGCAGGGCCTGGCGCAGTTGCCCCAGGCGCTGCTCGGCGTCCGAGCCGAAGTTGGCGGTCCGCAGGGCCCCTTCTACCCCGCCGTTCTCCTGCAGGTCTGGAAAGAATGTGCCGTCGCTCGTGAAGAGCAGCGGGCACTCTGGGGCGAAGGCGCTCCGCAACAGGTCGCGGAGGCGCTCCAGGTAGCCCCCGTCACTGCCCCAATAACCGAACTCGTTCTCGATCTGCACAGCGATCACGGGCCCGCCGCTGCCCGCCAGGAAGGGCTTCACGAGGGGCAGAAGGGTTCCCCACCAGGACTCCACCCGTGCCAAGTAGTCTGGATCGGAGCTTCGGAGTGGCACGGGATCCTGCCGGTCCAGGAGCCACCAGGGCAGGCCGCCGAGGTCCCACTCGGCGCAGATGTACGGGCCAGGACGCAGCAGCACATCGAGGCCCAGCTCCCCGCAGAGGGCCAAGAAGGCCGGCAGGTCGCGGCGGCCATCGAAGCGAAACTCCCCAGGCTTCGGCTCGTGCAGGTTCCACGGCACGTAGAGCTCCACCGCGTTGCATCCCAGCGCCTCCAGCTTCTCCAGGCGGTCTCTCCACTGCTCTGGCACCATCCGGAAGTAGCTCACGGACCCCGATAGGATGCGGTGGCGCTGCCCGTCGAGCCAGAACGCGTCCCCGCGCATCTCCAGCCTGCGCGGGGCGCCAGCTGCCTGCGCCGCTGCCCGCGCCCGCCCGAGCCGCGCGCGCGCCGCCGGCCTCGCCCGCTGGCAGAGGCCAGCGCCGAGGGCGAGCCCGGCGCCGGCCGCGAGCAGCTCCGCGTCCGCTGGGCGGCGCCCGCCCTCCCGGAGGAGGCCGCCGCAGCGCTGCGCCGGCGCCGGGGGGGCGGCAGACCGGATCGCCGGGAGCGGGGTGGGGCCCGCGGCGGCCCGCGGGTGCGCCAGGGCCGCCCCGCAGTGGCGCATGGCCGTCGCAGCGCGTCGCACGCTTGCGCCCGCAGCCCTGGCGCCCACGCCCTGGGCCGAGCACCGAGGCGTCTAGACACTTCCTGTACGGTGGGGGCATGGGGCAAGAGCCCTCAGATGAGGAATCCAGGGTCTGCAAGCTGGTGGAACTCGAACCGTGGATCGGCCCTGGATATCATCGCCGCCCTCATCAGGTAAGGAACCCTCCAGGGTCTGAAGCCTCCTGGGCGCAATCCTCAACGGACGCCCCCACCGTACGTGACCTTGTTTTCCTTTCCCGGGCAAAGGTCGTTACCCAGAGGGGTGGGGGGCGGGAGGGTAACAGGAACGGCGGCCGCGGCATGCACCCGCCAGGGTGCGTCCGCGCCAGCGGCGCGCATCAATCGCCTGTGTGCGCCACAGCATGTAGAGGGGGGTCCAGGCCACCCCCCTTGTACGATCGTTAGCGTTTGCCGGAGGGGGGTGCCCTGTGACAAGCGTTACCCTGGGGAGGAAAGCAAAAACGCTCACCTACCTGTTTCTGGCACGCTCTGAAGGCCTATGCCTCTGGAGGCCCTCGGAGACCTCCAGGAGAGGGCTCCTCTCGCGAGCGCAAAAGCCGCCAAGAGGATGTTCTCCGCCGCGCGGGCGCAGGCCGTGACGGAGAGAGGGGGCCTTGCATGCACACTGGACGGCAGGCCGCAGCGCGAGCACGAGCCTGCGGGGCATGTGTGGCCCGTCTCGCTCCCTCCCCCCCCAGACCACCTCGCGTTGAGAAAAAACACGACGGGCGGTTTTTCGCTGTTTTCGGCCCTTGGGGGCCCTCACCGGGCCTCGGGGCCGTCAAGGAAACTCAGGATGAAACACGGGCCCCGGGGAAAGGGGTCCAGACCTCTGGGGGTCGACGCTGCGAACAAAATCGCGACGTTGGGCGTCTGGGTCCCAGGCCTGCGCTCCGTGCGCGCAGATGTGGCAGATGTACCCTCTGTCCAGCATCGCTCTCGGCGCCCCTCGCCCTTGATCTTGCCGCTTCTTTGGGCCTCCGCTCCCTCTCGGCGGGGCAGCAGCACCCGCACGGCAGCAGGGCCCTGCCTCGGCGCCCGCCGGCGGCCCCTTTTAGCTGCCCCCGAGGTCGCCGCGCGCGGCCTCGGCCGGCGCCCCGCCCGCGGGCTCCCCGGCAGCCTGCGGCGGCGCCGGCCGTCGACGCGGCGCCGCTTCGCCGCTTCCGCCCCGGCCGCCGTCGGCGCCGCTGTGCTGACGCCCGCACGCCGCGGCGGCGGACGCCGCCACGCTCGAGAGTGGCCGTCGCCGTCGCGCGAGGTGCCGATGGCCGCCGCCGTCGACATGACCGCAGCCCGAGACGAAGAGCGGCGGGCGAGACGAGCAGGTGCACAGGCCTCCTCGTGGCCGCTCGTCGGAGAGCGTGTCCTCCTCATCCCCAGTGTTTTGGGTTTCCTGGAGGTGCGCGTTCTGAGGAGGCCCCATCTGTGCTGAAGTGGAGTGGTATGGTCGCTGCTTCTGCTGTGGCTGGGTTTTTTCATTGTGCTCGATTCGACCATCGTCTTAAGCAGTCTGGTTTGTGGGGGGCGGGACATCACGATACGGAGGCCGTTTGGCGCTTCAGCTTCTTCCTCCGTGGGGGCTTCGGCTCCAGCTGGGGCTTCGGTGTGAGCTGCGGATGGGAACAGACCGGCGACTCGTTTGATCAACGCACGTTGGTACTTGAGCCGAATGAGGCGGGTGCCGTGGCTTGTACCTCTTTAGTTGACCCAGCGCTTCCTTTAGGTAAAACACGGTGTCCGAGACGGGCTGTGCGGAGTTTCGTGCTGCTCAGGAGATCTTGCCGAAGTCGGCGCAAGACTGGGCTTGTGTTGTTATTCACCGCGCGACGCCAGAATGAGTTGCTGGGCTTCATGGTCGTGTGTTTGGGTGGCACCAAAGGGGTCAGTATGTCTGAATGCACGAAGTCGGCGCCCTGCGCCACCGCTGGTGCGGCCACCTCCTTGGCTCCACTGTGTGCTGCTGTTGTGTCTTTCCATCGGGGCGTTGCAAAGTGATGCCGCCCATTATGGGGTGAGGGAGTTCTAGGAGGAGGGGAAGGAATGGACACTTATCATTTGAGGGGAGGTTTGTGTAGTCTGAGTCCTAGAAGCCTCTCCTCTCATGGTAGTCGGTGTCTCCGCTTTGTCCTGGGTCTCCGGGTGGCTGTTTAGAACTCTGCGGCGATCCCACGAGGTTCGTCTGTGGGGGCGGCTAGCGCTTCTGTTCCGCCGACGGGTCTAATGTTCCGTCCCGAGCCTGCGTGCCGCCTCGAATGGCACGTCAAAGCCGCCCCCACGCCCTTGCAGCCGGGACAGTGTGTTGTGTGTGTTTCTCGGTGGGGGCGGGTTTTCTGCGCGTGGGCACGTGGGTGATATTGTGATCCCTTTGCCTTTTGGTCCTTCCATCCGATAGCCCCAATCATATGCGCTTCTGTCTGGAATGGTGTTGTCGCGCCGGATTGGATCAGATGGCCCCTGCGTATAGAGACGCAAACACATCGTGAAGTGTGCACCTCGGCAGTGGTGGTGGTGGGGCTGGTCTGTGCCTCGGGTTTGGGTGTGTGCGTGTGGCGGTGAGCTGCACGTGCCCGGTCTAGTGCTCGCCTCCTGCTGGTTCCCAGTGCGCACGCTTGTTCTGCGGAGGAGGCCTGAGGAACGGCGGGCGGCGAGAAAGGGTGGGCGGAGCCGGGCCGGGGGAGGCGGCATGCGGAGGGAGGGCGGAGCTGCGCGAGAGAGCCACCGGGGGAGTGCAACGGCGCCGCGCCGTCCAGGCATCACGACGCAATGCCGCCCACGTGCGCCTAGAGCTTAGATGGATGGCATACACTGAGCGCGTGCATCAAGAACCGATGCCGTGCACATAGTTGAATGGCAGACACAATATGGCATACACAACAATGCGCAGCAACAAACACGGCCAGAACAGACCACCAGTCCAAGCATCACGGCCAGAAACCAAACCCATGCATCAATAGCATACACCTGTATCAAGCACCCTTGACTTACACCAATAGCACGCATCACGAACATACACAGACAGCGCGCACCAATACAACACGTCAATAATCACAGATGTTACCACGATGCATCAATAACTTACGCAAAAGCGCCAACCACGTGCACCGATGATATCGAACAGCGTTACCAAAAACATAACATTACCAGTAACAAACATCAGCAACACACGCCCGTAAAACGTCTTTGCGGAACGCCGGAGTCATACCTCAAGATCTCTTCAGCAATGAACAAGCACACAAAACAGGGGCAAACAATATGCATCAGTAAGAATCATCAGGAACATACATCGAGAGAGGACGTTGACAGCATGCACCAGTGACACAGACCAGTAGCATACACCAACAACCGACATTCTGGATGTAATCCACACCGCAGACCCAGAGCATATGACAAAGCACATCAACAAAACACGAATACATACCGATGACTGTGTGCCGAAAGCATGCACATGGTCAACATTGGCCACGAGCAGTAACCAAGAACCCACTGATCGAGACCACACAGCAATGACACACATCAGTACCATGCCAGAACACCGTACACTAATACAAAGCATATTGATACACTGGAACTCATTGGTACGAATCTCGAGAACCATCATATGCGTTCGTTCTCCATTGCAGCATCTGGGGGCCGCTTTCGGGCCTTGTCGTAGACAAACTAACCTGGGCGAAACAAATCCCCAGCCGCCCCAGAAAGCGTCGCGAGGTCCAGAAGCCGCGTATGATGTAAACCTGGGACGACCCCAATGAGGTAGATTGTTGTTGAAACCATGCGTGCGCTACGCAAAGCAATGAGGTGCAACGCAATGAGGTGACACGCAACGCAAATCAGATAGAAGCAGATAAGGCAACAGCACAACACCAACCAGTATAGCACGCCATACCATTATAACTCGGTATAGAGCAATGCGACCCTTAGCATAAAACACCATCGCGCAGTAGATAAACTTACCTCGCACATCATAACGTTGCATCGCATACCAACGCATGACATGGTAATGTACTGCGTTAACATTGAATCGCCCAGCATGGCTAAAACCTTCGCGTTCGCCTGCTCAACGGGCCAGTGGCGTGATTCAAAGGCTCCCAAAAGAAGACAATAAACAGAAACAGTGTTAGCAGATCGGACTTGGCTTCTGGGGGTACAGCGGTACAAACTTTCGACGGAGCCCGCAGCGATATAAACTCTCAATCGCATTCCAGGGGACTCCAGAGGCCCTCCTCAGAGCTTTCTGCATCTCCTTCTGGAGGCCTCTGCCTCGCCCTCGAGGCCCTCGACCTCGTGCTCCTCCTTGGCCGCCAACTCCCTCTCACTTCTGCCTTCCCCTCGTCCCCAGCCCCCGCCCCGACCCCTTCTCCCACCGAAGGCCCCCGAGGTCACCCACCCACACCCACCTCCATCACCCCCTCACCCTCGAGGCCTCATGCCCCATGACTCCCTCCCCCGGAGACTCCCACGCACCCCTCGGCGGCCATGAGGCGGCCACATAAGACAGCGGCCACCGGCGGCGTCGTCCGACCAGGTGGTCTGGGTTCCAGGTGATTGCTTTCGAGCCAAGCCTCGGGACTCTGGCGGCCGCCTGGGGCGATCCAGGCACCCCGTGGGGTGCTCTCGGAGAGGCGCAGCTGCTGGAATGCACCCCAAGGCGGGACAGGCCTTCCAAGTGCCGACGGAGACTGCGCAAGCCTCCGGCGTTGAAACGACGGGGAGAGGGGAGGCCGGGGGATTGTGGAGCACCTGTGTTCCAGAAGATGTTTTACGAGCTTGCATTCTTCTCTTCATCCGTATCCTTATCTTACCTCTCACTATATATGAATAGTTATACATACTCACACATCTATATATGTATATATATATATAAATATGTATATGCACTCCTTCCTTGAGGTGTACCGTTATTCTGCCAGCCTCTTTAACGAACAAATGACACCCCGAGCATGGTCGGAGGATTTCAGTAAG